CAGCCCCCTTACATGTCTTTCCCCCGCACGAGGCTCGAGACATCCGCTCCTAGCATGGCCGGTAAGAGCGGGTTGGGACCCTTGAAAAGAATAGAAAAGAAAATAACAGAAAACAAGCAAAACAGAAAGAAAAGGGGTTCCAACCATCCTTAAGCAGAAAATAGAGCACCTTGAAAAATGTGAGTCCATGATCTGTTGTTTTTGAGAATCTCTTCATCCACAATTCATTTGTCCTCTGTTCACTATTTGCCATGATGCCGACTCGCCGAAGAAGTTATGAGATGACTTGTGCGTCGGTTGACCTCGTAAGTTGCTAATTGACCTAGGAAGTCCTCTACCTACGATCTGGGTTGTTTGTTGCTATAGAGGTCTGGAGAGTTGCATTGGTTTGAGTTAGGTTTGCTTGGGGACAAGCAAACGGTTAAGTGTGGGGGAGTTTGATAGACCGTTAGTTACACATGTTTTCACCCCTGTTCTTACACCGTTTGAGATGTGGTTTCTCGTGTTTTAGACCGATTTCATGCTAGGTTGTGCTTGTTTGTGATATTTCAGGTCCTGGCAAGTGAATGAAGGTTTAGGAGCGAGTTCGGGGTCGATTGGGTGAAGATCGGGCGCGAGACAAGTCACAAAGGAGGTCACACGGGCTGCCCTGATGTTCACATGGCCGTGTGAAGTAATGGCCTGGCCGTGCGAGTTTTGCCGAGAGCACACACGGGCAGAGCAGAGGATCGACACGGCCGTGCATGTGGCCGGGTTGGCCGTGCCACATTCTGCGAGAGCAAACACGGGCAGGAAGGAGAGTTCACACGGCCGTGCCATTCTGGCCGTGCAAAGAGCCTGGAATTCGAACTAAATGAAACGATGCGTTTTGACTCACACGGGCAACTGGGTGAGCTGCACGGCCGTGCCACCCTGGCCGTGTGAGTCGGGATTTTCTCCTTTTAAGCAGAATTTCAGCCACAATTCAGGGGGATTCGAGTTTTAGAGAGAGAGATCAGTTCCTAGAGAGAGAAAGTGACGAGCAAGAGTTCCCAAGTGCCCTAGATTGATTTTCAACACCATTGGAGGCCAGCTTGAGCTTGGAGAAGTGCCGATCAACGTCCAGGAGCAGGAATCCATCCTTCACAGTATGAATTCCGCGTCTGATTCTGCTTTTGCTTTCTTCTCCATGGAGTAGTTCTCCCATTCATCTGGGTATGGAGAACCCTAGATTTGTATGTTAGGTTTGATTGTATGAACCCAAGTACTGATTCTATGATTGATTATATTCGATTGAGGTTTGAATGACTTGAATCCTGATCAAATTCCTGTTGTTTCTGCTTTAACCTAGAATGAGAATATCTGCCTAGGTTAATAGAGTATCCTTGATTGAAGGTAGGGAGTTGGTGACTTTAGTCGAGGAGCCAACTCACTATTCTGTACCGGATTTACTCCGGTAATGGAGGTTTTGTTCTTAGGGCCTCAATCTGTCTACTCCGGTGGAGGTTAGTCGCCCGCTAGAGATTCAGATTGAGAGGGTCTGAAGACCTTTAGTCGAGACTTCAGGCTGTTTAAGAATCTTCCGCAGTATAACTTTCATAGAAACTGAACTTGGTAATTACAATCCGGCTTAACTGCAGTCTAGGGGGAACCATATCCGGGTGACCTCTCTTAACCTGAATACAACCGTTGTTTGCTTTGTTAGTTTAGACTTGCATTAAAGTTTCATTGCTAGATAACAAGAATTCACTGAGTAGTCATCAAATCTAGGACCCGGGTTGATAATTAAACCCAAACCCGCTATACTACGCTTTAGGAAGTGGTTTCACTTGGCCAATTCCTGGAGTGACAGTAGAGTCGAGTCAGTAGTGATTGAACCAAGGAGGGTATTGAAAGACATAGAAGCAAAATCGGAGCAGTTGAAGAGAGAGAAGTGGTAGATGATCAGGATATTAATGAAAATGAAGAGGGTATTGAAGGGCATGGAAGCGAACTGGATCAGGTGAAGGCAGAGAAGGAGAAGAAGAGCATATTGATGGAATTGAAGATGAGTGTTGGGTTTACGAGCTTATTAAAACTGCCCTGAGGAAGATGAGTTGGCCAAATACAAGAAAGAGGATTGAGGAGTTGGAGATCGAGCTGACAAGAAACTCAATTGAAAGAGAAATTCAGGTTCATGGAGAGAAGGTCCATCAAAGTAGCATAAATGGAGTTGCAGAATGAGGATTAGAAATTGAATTTTGGTTTAAAACATATACGTCGAGAGATTGAAGATGGAGGGGATAAAAAGTTAGTTGTACAACGAAGAGTGGAAACTATTGGATCTTTAGGTGTTATGGTTGTGGCAACTACCACAGCATATGTTTATGTTAAAACGAGGAATCATCGATTGATTTACTAAAGTTAAGGTTGATTCACTATTCAAACTATTTGAACCTGTAGATAAGGAGTGTCTAATTTTGTGTCTCATTACTTTGATCGAGTCTATTAGTATATTGGACAATCTATTTTTGGACAATCTATTAACCAATATCATTTTAATGGAGGCTCAATTATCAATATAGAAATGAGATTAATAATACATTTTTATATTCTTAAATGAAGAGGGTATTTTCCTGAATGTTCCACCTATATATTCATTCTTTATGTAGCATCTTGATTGAATGATTTTCAATAAACTTAAACGAATTAATAGACTTAAATATAACATAAAAATATAAATATTAAAATATGAACATTCCGGCCAACGGGCCGGTTATAAGCTAGTAAGAATAAAGAAGGAGTCGTAGAGATGCCAACGGGCATGGAGACTAAGAGACCACATTAATAAAGATGAGCCCATGGCGCACGATATTGTTAGTAGGGAATGCGCACGTAGTGCACGATAGCATTTCCAAGATAAAGGAGATTGGAAGTAGGGGTGGACAACGGGGCGGGACGGGTTTTAAAACAGGTACCCGATCCCATTTGAAGAGTAATCTTCATCCCATGTCCCAAACCCATAAGGGTTACGGGCACTCGTTACCCGTACGGGACGGATAACGGGTACCCATATTACCCGTAAATACTCTTTTCAAAATTCCATCTAATCCCTTCTTTGCATCTCCCGTTCCTAGAAACAACAAAATCATTTCTTCTCCACACAAACCAAAACAGCAACACAAAAAAAGCCCAGAGAATCTCATCTCTTAATCTGCAACTACATAGTATTGTCCATGAAAATAATGTAAGAATATGCCAACTCTTTGAAATGGCATGACTTCACCTATTACGTCTAAAATATCACATACAATACAAAGATAGTTGCGGAATGATTACATGTTAGGCCATGCAAAATTAGCTTAATCACTATATATAATTTTGGTAAGCATTGCCTCATTCCTTGTTGATTGGGCTTCTAACAATTATGGTTTTATTGCTTGAAGTAATGTCGACGAGCAGCACAATCACTTGCAGCTATATTGCAATAATTTTGGACAAACGGGTATAACGGATACTCGTAATACCCAAACGGGTATTAACAGATAATCCGAGGGTACCCAAAGTATCAATTCTTGATCTCAAATTCCATCTCATAAAAAATATTACGGATATTTGAGTACCCGTAAGTCGTAATCCTCAAAAACGGGACGGGTACAGGTATATCCAAATACTCATTTCTCGTTGCCCACCCCTCTTCTAGGCTACGGCTGCCTTCGTTTCTCTATAAATACACACGTCGGGTCTCAAATTCATTTTGTTCGGCAGTTGTAGATTCAGAAAGTTGTTGTGGCGAGAGCAGTCTCCCGTTTCGGCCGGTTTCTGAACTACAAGGCGCAAGCCAACCCAACTGTTCAAACGAAAATTTCTTGAAGGGGCACTGAATGGAGAACTGAGAAAGAAAAGGAACAACTAGAAACGAATACTGGGTCTTCCTTTCTTTGACAGCGAGTGAATGAAGTAGCTAGAGTTATGCGATTGAGTTTTTAATTGACCTCCGAACCGTGTTTCTGAACCCTTTTCCACTGGTTGTCTGCAGAGGCAAATGTCCGTTTTCCAGGTTGAGCATAGTGAGACCACTGAGCGTGGGAAGCCCAAGGTTGCAGGCCTGAGTGATCCTCGGTTGGGAACAATTGACAGGAAAATGAAGTGTGAGACTTGCACTGCGAACATGGCAGTGTGTCTTGGGCATTTTGGACACCTGGAGCTTGCTAAGCCCATGTTCCATATAGGGTCATCATGAAGACTGTGCTCAGCATAATGAGATGTGTTTGCTTCAATTGTTCGAAGATTCTTGTAGATGAGGTACCCTCAGCCTCGATGTGTCATTTAATCAAACTGTTATCATGTTGGTCGTGTTCTTTCTTATCAGTAGAGTGGCTTCTTTACTCCAGGATGTTTCATATTAGAGCATTAAGTTGGCCTTTCTTTCTCCCTTCTGTTTGCTGGTTAATCGAGCGTGCATGAATTAGACATCACAGCTTATCCTTCGTTTTTGTGCATGGGATGACTCTTGTTGGATGTTGTCAACTTCCCCGTTTCAATTTTCAAGTTACAGGATTTTCCTTCTATCGATTTATCTACAGGAAGACCATAAGTTTAAGCAAGCCTTGAAAATATGGAATCCAAAAAACAAACTTAGAAAGATCCTGGATGCTTCCAAGACCAAGACAAAGTGTGAAGGTGAGGAAGAAATTGAGGTTCAGGGTCAAGACGGAGAAGAGCCAGTTAAGAAGAGCTTTGGTGGATGTGGTGCTCAGCAGCCAAAATTACTATTGAAGGTATGAAGATGATTTCTGAGTACAATGCGCAAAGGAAGAAAAGTGATGATCAGAAGCAGCTGCCTGAACCTGTTGAGAGAAAACAGACACTTACAGCAGAAAGAGTAAATATGTTTGCATGCTTTCAACATCTGGTTTAACCTGTAACTTGGTTCTAATTTGCTCTTATTTCCTTTACATGTTCTTAGTGTCCTCAAGCGAATAAGTGACGAGGATTGCCAATTACTGGGGCTGAACCCTAAGTATGCACGCCCAGACTGAATGATCCTGCAAGTACTTCCGATTCCACCACCACCTGTGAGACCCTCTGTCATGATGGATACATCCTCCCGCAGTGATGCAAGATTCTGATTCCTTATATTGACTTGAAAATTTTCTGTTTGTTTTGAGTATTCAGTTTTTGGACGAGGCAGTCTTACTTTAAAGGGGCTAAGGTTTATTTTTTGGCCCTTGTATATTCTAACATTAATTCTTTGCTAAACCCAGGATGATCTTACCCATCAGCTAGCAATGATTATCAGGCACAATGAGAATCTAAGACGTCAAGAACGGAGTGGGGCTCCTGCACACATCATATCTGAGTTTGCACAGTTGTTACAATTTCATGTAGCCACATATTTTGACAATGAGTTACCGGTACAGCCGAGGGTTTGTATGCTTTCAAAGATGTTACTGTTTGATCCTATGTTCACTGAATGATCATTATTCTTATTCACAAGCATTTTTGTTTGTTCTGCAGGTCACTCAGAGTCAGAGATCAGGAAGGACCATCAAATCAATATGCAGTAGGCTCAAGGCTAAAGAGGGTTATATTAGGGGTAATCTAATGGGGAAATGAGTTGACTTCTCTGCTCGTACAGAGATTACTCCCGATCCCACCATCAACATTGATCAACTTGGAGTTGTTGGAAATAAATAAATTATTTCCTTATAATTCAAACTTCAATGGTGGGCTTTTTATGGTGGGGAGAGCTCGTTTATAAGCTTGTAGAGAAGAGGAATTTTGGGTGGTCTTTTAATTGGGAAAGGAATGGGTTTTTTTAAGGGGGAGGCAACAGAGAGAAAGAACTCTTTTTATTGGTTATTTGTTGTTTCTTTGTTCTACACTCCACATCCAACGTACAAGCAGCCTTTTTATACGCCATTTCAATACAAATATCTAAATTGGGTAGTTGGCAACGGTCTTATGCTTCTGGTTCTTTTTTTTTTTTTGTTGCTTTGTTTAATCCACAATCATGCAACTACTGCCTACCTCATTAATTTATTCTCTAGACACTTCCACACACACAACACATAATAGTTTCTAGCATGTTCTGATTTTTTTCAGCTTAATTATTTAATTAAACTTTATTATTTTCAACACTCCCCCTTAAAGTTTAATTAGTAGTAACTCCGAGTAGCGTCCTCAGTTTGACGAACACGTCTTGCTTGAGCGGCTTCGTGAAAATATCTGCAATTTGGTCTTCGGTCTTCACATACTTCAGTGTCACTTCTTTCTGCTCCACGCATTCTCTCTAAAAATGATATCTTGTATCAATGTGTTTACTGCGATCATGAAACACTGGATTCTTTGCTAGCGCCAGGGCAGACTTGTTATCCACAAATATCTCAGTTGATTCTTCTTGTGTCATATTCAACTCCTTTAGTAACTTTCTCAACCATATCGCATGACACGCACACGATGTCGCAGCAACATACTCAGCTTCACAAGTAGATAATGTAACGATAGCTTGCTTCTTTGAACTCCATGTGAAAGTTGTATCTCCCAGGAAAAATACGAATCCTGTAGTGCTCTTGCGATCATCCACGTCTCCTGCCCAATCACTATCGCAGTATCCAACCAATTTGAAATTTTCTGACTTAGCATAAAGTAGACCATGATCGATTGTACCTTTGATATAGCGCAGTATCCTCTTGGCAGCATTCCAGTGTGACATAGTTGGTGCCTCCATGTATCTGCTGGCTAATCCAACTGCACAGAGAATATCTGGTCTAGTACAAGTCAGGTATCTCAGACTTCCCACGAGACTTCTAAACTCTGTTGAGTTGACCTTCTCTCCTTTATCATCCTTGGATAACTTTAGTCCGCACTCTGCTGGTGTGCTTACAGGATTACAATTCTCCATCTTAAACTTCTTCAGGGCTTCCTTGGCAAAACCACTCTGTGAGATGAAAATTCCTTCCTCCTTTTGACTTACTTCAATTCCAAGATAGTATGACATTGGTCCAATGTCTGTCATCTCGAACTCACGAACCATTGTCTTCTTGAACTCTTCAAACATTTGAGGATCGTTGCCTGTAAAGACGAGATCATCTACATATAGGCAAACCATCAATATTGCTCCCCCTTGCACCTTGCAGTATAGTGCATGCTCATGTGGACATTTACTGAATCCATTCTGCTGAAAATACTTGTCAATCCTGCTATTCCAAGCTCTAGGTGCTTGTTTCAGACCATAGAGTGCCTTTTTCAGCTTCAACACCTTATCTTCTTGACCTTCAACGATATATCCAGGGGGTTGCTCCACATAGATATCTTCCTCGAGGTATCCATTGAGAAAAGTTGACTTCACATCCATCTGGTGTATCTTCCATCCATTTTGAGCAGCGAGAGATATCACCATCCTAATACTCTCCATTCTCGCTACAGGAGCAAAAACTACATTATAGTCAATGCCTGGTCTCTGACTATATCCTTTAGCCACTAATCTTGCTTTGTGCCTGACGACTTCTCCTTTTGCGTTCTTCTTCGCTTTAAATACCCACTTCACACCGATGGGCTTCTGGTTCTCAGGTAGCGACACAAGCTCCCAAGTCTTGTTCTTCACAATTGCTCCAATTTCTTCATCCATGGGTCTTTTCCATTTTTCATCTTTTATGGCTTCTTCAACATCCACTGGTTCACTATCAATGAAATGACAGTAGAATGTCAATTCATCACCTTCAATGATTGTCGTTTCCTCATAAATTTCTTCAAGTCTTCTATACTTCTGTGGCCTTTCTCGGGGACTTTCATTAGATTCTCCTTCTAGGCTGGCAGGCTCTCTATGACTGGGTGGACTTGTCACAAGTGTAACTGTATCTGGTTCATCATCACTTTCATCCATAGTGAATGGATAAAAAGTGTAATTCTTCTTTGCTTCAACAGTCCAGTCCCATGTTGCTTCTTCATCAACTACCACGTCTCTGCTGATGATCAGCTTCTCTTCCATGGGATCAAACATTTTGTAACCTTTTGAGTGTTCTGAGTATCCAAGGAATATGTACTTCTTGCTTTTGTCATTCAACTTCTTCCTTTCTTGATCCGGTACGTGCACATATCCGACACTTCCGAAGACTCGGAGGTGAGAGATTGTGGGTTTCCTTCCGCTCCATGCTTCTTGGGGTGTTTGATTCCAAACACTCTTTGTTGGTGACCTGTTCAGCAGGTAGACTGCACAATCAACAGCTTCAGCCCATAGCTCCTTTGGCAGGTTCTTGCTCTTCATCATGCTTCTCGCCATGTTGAGGACAGTTATGTTCTTCCTCTCAACGACTCCATTATGCTGTGGGGATCTTGGGACTGTGAGAAACCTACGAATTCCTTGATATTCACAGAACCTTCTGAACTTCTTTAGCATAAATTCTCCACCTCTATCTGATCTCATTGCTTTGATGTAGCGGCCACTTTCATTCTCTACGAGCATCTTGAACTTCTTGAAAGCTTCAAATGTATCTGACTTCTGCTTCAAGAAGTATACCCATGTCTTTCTACTATAGTCGTCAATGAACAATAGGAAGTATTTGTTTTTCCCGAACGATGTTGGGGGTGATCGGTCCACAAAGATCTGCATGGACGAGCTCAAGTGGTGCTTTAGCTCGTGACAGGGACTCCTTCGGGAAACTTGCCCTGAATTGCTTTCCAATTAAGCATCCTTCACACAACTGGTCTGGATGATTGATCACTGGCAGACCATGCACCATATTCTTCTGATCGAGCAACTTCAGGCCTCCAAAATTTAGATGGCCATACCTCAGATGCCATATCCATGTAGTGTCTTTCACACATGATTTCAAACACTTCGCCATTTCTGTCTGAATGTTCAGTGTGAACATTCTGTTTTTCGACATTGGGACTCTGGCCAACAACTGCCTCTTCTCATTTAGTAGCACCAATTGACGATTCACCATGTGGACTTCATAATTCTTCTTCATCAATTGACCCAAACTCAGGATGTTACTAGTCATGTCTGGGACATAGTAGACATCACTGATAAATTGTTGTGAGCCATTCTTGAGCCGGATGAGTATAGTTCCTCTCCCTTTGATAGGAACTTTCGAGGAGTCTCCAAATACGACATTTCCTTTCACCGATTCATTCATATCCACGAACATGTTTCTTTTACCGCACATGTGGTTGCTTGCTGCATTATCCAGATAACACATGTTATATCTCGGTTTTTCATCTCCTTGATGTGACAGCATCAATGTGCCTTTGACTTCTTCTTGCACGTTGTTTGCTATCTCCTCCACTTCTTTAGGCGGACTCCAACATTCCGATGCATAATGCCCATACTTCGAGCAATTATAGCATTGGACGTTGGATTTATCACGACCTTCATTTGATCTCCAACTTCCTCTTCCATGTCCACGACCACGACCTCTGCCTCGACCTCTGTACTGACCTCCTCCTCGGGCACCATCTTTCTCCTCAGTGGTAGCTTTTGTAGCTAACACTTGTTCTGACGATTCTTCATTTCTTTTATTTAGTCTTTCTTCTCTGGCTTGTAATGAACCAATGACTTCATCAACCGTCATTTTTGACACGTCCTTAGCTTCCTCCATGGTCACCACCACATAGTCAAACTTTGGTAATAATGACCGTAGAATTTTCTCCACCACTTTGGTCTCTTCAATTTTCTCCCCATACTGCTTCAGTTTGCTGACTACTGACTTCACACGGGCAGTGTAATCTGAAACAGATTCACCTTCCTTCATTTTAATGGCTTCAAAATCTCCTCTTAGTGTCTGAAGTCGAACCTTCTTCACTGGTTCCACGCCTTGCATTTCTTTTTGCAAAATCTCCCATGCTTCCTTCGTCGTGGTAGCATCTGCTACTTGGTTGAACATGGATTCATCAAGACATTGATGAATAAGAGTGAGTGCTTTTTGATCACTCTTTCGATTCTTTCTCAACACCTCCTTTTCAGCAGGAGATAATCGAGAATCCTCCACGGGAATCTCGTAGCCTTTTTCGACAATATCCCAAGCATCTTGGGATCCAAGCAAGGCTTTCATACGGATACACCAATTTTTATAATTGGTTTTGGTAAGGTGGGGGAATTGAATAGGGAAACTTGATTTTTCGGCCATGGGACAATCGTGATAACAAAAACACGAGAAATTCTTTTCTGATGTGGAAGTTCAGACTACGCTGCAACCACAGAGCATACTTAAGAATAACCAGGGTTCTGATACCACTTTGTTGGAAATAAATAAATTATTTCCTTAAAATTCAAACTTTAATGGTGGGCTTTTTATGGTGGGGAGAGCTCGTTTATGAGCTTGTAGAGAAGAGGAATTTTGGGTGGTCTTTTAATTGGGAAGGGAATGGGTTTTTTTTAAGGGGGAGAGGCAACAGAGAAGGAACTCTTTCTATTGGCTATTTGTTGTTTCTTTGTTCTACACTCCACATCCAACGTACAAGCAGCCTTTTTATAGGCCATTTCAATACAAATATCTAAATTGGGTAGTTGGCAACCGCCTTATACTTCTGGTTCTTTTTTTTTTGCTTTGTTTAATCCACAATCATGCAACTACTGTCTACATTATTAATTTCTTCTCTAGACACTTCCGCAC